ATCAAAGTTATACTGAGAACTCCATGATCCCATGAGACGCCAACCCTGAACCAATATACAAAACTACCACATTTTCCTATAAGTTTGATCACAACATATAATAATTTATGTTAATAGTGTTCACAGTTTTTTTGAACACGTCATTCTAACATGATATTTTTTTGTACATACAGCATCAGCCATATGGACATTACTTTGACATAGGCTAATCACCACTGATAAGCTACTCTATGTAATGTAGAAACTTTCATTTCCTGTGAAGCTGCTTTGCAACTATTTGTATTGTGAAAAGCACTACACAAAAAAAAAAAATTAAGATATGACTGAGCAACCATTGACCAATTACATTCCCCTCTGGGAAAAGATAGTGATAATATATAGTATGTAAGAAAAAAAATACATAACATTTCAATTGTTTCTACAAATATGAGATTAAATGGAGTGTAACTGGAAATGCTGATGTCTCCCGTTTCTTAGATGTTTCATACTAAAATGAGCCTTGTAAGCTCACGTCTCCCTTTAGAGTTTCAGAAGGGATCTCACTAATGTATCGAACTGTACTCAAATTTTCCAAGATATGGATTAGATGTCTGCAATCAAAAGCTAGAAATCGCAATATGATCTCAAACATGCATCATCAAATTATATCAAGCTTAAACAATCTGAGCTGCCATCTACATTTCCTACTAAAACACACATTAGACAACCTAGATGATACCGAGACATAACTGAGAAGTCTCCTGAGCAATAAAACCTTCATGCCATTGCTGATTTCTCAGCATACGATCCAGAAAACTATAAAATCACAAATGAGATCTCTCCAGTGTCTCAAATGTTTCTCCTAGATTTCAGTGAGGCTTGTGCTGAAATGTCCTGCTTCTCAGATGTTTCTCCAGAGAAAACTACCCCAGTAATATCATCGGTCTTCTCTAGATGCATCAACGAGGTCTCAAACTGTGCTCAGATTTACCAAAAACAACCAAACGTCAACAGTCAAAACTCAAAGATCTCAATATGAACTCAAACATTTCTCATACTATTTCCCCCCCCCAAGATCAAGAGATCTGAGCTGCTCCACATTCATTTTATATTTCCATACACTTTACTGTATGACAACTAGTGATTTAATTCTGTCACCATTTTAATTTGACTAAAAGAAGCTTAGAAGAAATCTCTGAAACAAAGTTGATACTCGATACAGGGTTGAAACGAGACATAACGGAGAACTCCAATCAGTCTCACGAGTGATGAAAGAGCAACATCTGAGCAGAGGAGAGCTGAGCTTCACGTAACTGAATTTAGAAAGGATCCCCTTCAGGGGCCAAACCCACATACACAAATATCGACTGTAAAGAGAGACGCTGAGAGAAAACACACCTGCTTAAGAGAAGAGCTACATCACAGCGGGAGATACACACATATGCTTTTATATGAACAACACACAGCTCACTCAAGAGACTGAGATGATGGGGTTGTGTCCCCCTTTAAAAATCACAGCACATCACAACACTTCCTGGATGGAAGGAGAAAGACACAACATAAAATCTGGAATAACTGCAGACGGACACACTGAACCTGCGGGTGCAAATACATGAATATTTTTAGCTAAATGCATCACTGTTGTGTTGAAACTGGACACTGATCTTTTCAAACAAAATGGTGTGCTCAAGCCAGAGGTTGAGATCAGCAGGCTTAAAGGGACAGTGTAGAGCCTATTTTTCTGGCCCAGAACTGGATTTTCTTCGGGTTGAAGCCTGAGATTTGTCCAGTGGGATTGTCTCTGTAAATAAAAGCATCTGTTACACTTACCAGACGAGTTTAATTCTCTTTTGGACCACAGTGACATCTGTCCTGTTAATAACATAGCGTTAGCTTACAGTAAAAGAGTGTTGTTCTAGTCTCAAACAAGTCACAAACTGTTTCAAACCTTTTCAGGCTGTCCTACTATCGGTCCAGTAGGGGTTTGAGAAGTGATTAGACTAAATTATGTATAAACAACGACATACATTAAATATTTAGTTCGTCGATAATTTGTTCTTCCTTTCCACTTTCAGGGAAACATTCAGTGCAATTCACGAGGAAAGATCGGCCTCCAGTGGCGGAGAATAGAAATGCATCCAGAGAACTGCAGGAATGTGACACATGAATTAGTGCTCTGCATTTAACCCATCCAAAGTGCACACACACAGCAGTGAACACACACACACACCGTGAACACACACCCGGAGCAGTGGGCAGCCATTTATGCTGCAGCGCCCGGGGAGCAGTTGGGGGTTTGGTGCCTTGCTCAAGGGCACCTCAGTTTTGGTATTGAAGGTGGGAGAGAGTGCTGTACATTCACTCCCCTCACCTACAATCCCTGCCGGTACGAGACTCGAACTCGCAACCTTTGAGTTATGAGTCCGACTCTCTAACCATTAGGCCACGACTTCTGCTACACGTTATGATCAAATAGCAAAACGTGGCTAGAGAGCTCAGGGGGGTGAATATCTATCGGAGGAATAAATAGCAGGGGTTATTAAGGAGGGAAAAAAAAGAAAGCTAAAAGAATATTTAAAGGCACGGATTAAAGATATCGCTGGAATCACTTTCAGACCATTTTCCCTGACAATGAAACTATAAGAACATTTCCCGCCAATCAAATAACATCGTATTTAAAAGCGCGAGCTTAACATAAACAGAACGTGATTGTTATTGGTGAGGATTGCCACGCTTTTCCAACGGAAGACCAAGGGGGTAAGACATTACACTGGGAAGAAAGGAAACATTAATAGTTTTAACTAATTTTATAGCTTTTTTCAACTAAACGAAACCATGTACAGACATTAAGCCCTGTAACTTTCACATAATATGTGCAAGAATACCAGAAAGAGTCATTACATAAAGAGAAATCCACCAAGAGGATCTATGTCAGTATAATCATAAGTTAATTCGTCTAAAAAGTAGACCCATCACAAAAAAAGCACTATTTAGGACATTTTACTATCTTAATGAATTAAGGCCCATTCGCACAAAAATAATGACTGCGATAAAGATATAGTTTTAAAACCGGTCTAAATTTAAGAGTTCACACCACAACAGCACAGAAGAACGATATGATCGGAATCGCTTTCAAACCATGTTTTCCCCAGCATTCATCAATCAGCAGATAGATGATAAAAATTACAGTCAATTAATCTATCCTGCTTTAAAGAGCTTGATCATTTAAAGTTGAAGATGACACAACAGCAGCATGTGCTTAAAATAAACAAAGCGTTATTGAGCGTTTTCCTTTTTTGGTGTGAACAGGCCTCCAACCTCTACAAAAATATAAGCGCTCCAACAAATTTATGACCTGCTTGTTGTTTCTGCTTTTACAGAAAAGTCTTCCCCATAGATTTCAACATAATCGATGCCACAGATAACCTAACCTAGGCAGAACTAGAATTAAATCCAGAACGATCCTGTCAGAATTCACATATTTAGAAAACTAAGAGCTTAACCAGTTTTATAGATTCTGTAGATTTGTTCACAAGGATGAACTTATACACGAAGAAGTCCAAAAGACATCTTTGAAATAATCGACATCAGAGCGCTACAGCATAGTCTTTTATAAGTTATTTAATTTTTCAATGAAGAAAAAAAAAAGCCTACGTCAAATCCATCAGACTACATTTCTTCAGCTGTAGATAATTCCCACTGTAATTGAATTCACAGCCAACCAAACTTTATTTGAACCTCTATGATGAATATTAGATCAAAAACCGCTCTGCTAGCATAGCAGTGAATACCGGGACACAGCACCGTCGACAAGATCAGAAACATTCAGGATTTGTGTAATAAATTGATAGCAGTATAAAGACAGATGGCACAGACATCGTTTAACTTTTCATGTCTCTGAGCTATATCACATCAGTTTATTTTTCAGAGGTGAAATTTGAATAGATGTCAAGATAGTGTTCGACATGCATGCAAACGGCAAAACAAGCATGTTTTCCCATTGGGAAACACTTAATGACAGAGTAACCATCAAACCCAGAGACGTGACATTAAATCAAAGGCTTTGTTGGCTAACTGCACCATCTACTTTAGCGACAGCTTCATCAGTTCCTATTGGGTGGGAAAATTATGATGCAGTCTTTGTCTCGTCTGAGTTACAATTAAACAAAAGCATAATGCCAAACATCTGTCCCAAAGGTTTTTGCTCTTATTTAATGGCAACTTGTAAATTATTTCGCAATTAACCTGATTCCAAACAAAGTTGTATAACTTACTGAATTGACTGGATGGTGAAAAGTATCATCTTGACCTACTTTTTTTTCTCTTCACCCTGAAATATGTTACATCATCGAAGTAAAAATGGGTTGCAAAAACTATTTCATGTTGACTTTAACGTTCACCCCAACATCCTAGTGGTGAAAGAGTACATCTTTACTCTGGCGGTACTTTCATCCATTTTGTAGAGCGTTCATACAACTGGAAGCACATCCTCAGCCTTCCTTTCTCAGCTGTATTTTTAACTTGAAACCTCAGTTGTGTCATGTTTAATTGACAATTTCAAATCTTCTATAAACAAATGGTTTGGTAGCTGTAAGATGATTCGTAGTTATTTCTGCAACCATCATAAATATGACATTAGCGAGTCACATGCCCAACATAAATTACACATGCATCTATGTAAAACCAAACGATATTTATATACATATTACATATATATATATATATATATATACAAATGATATTCCATATTGAGTCTAAAAATATATTATACACGTTATTCAAGTAACAATACTTTTTTTTTTAAATGCATTTTCCTGAAGAAAACCTAAGTAGTGTTTGCACAGGCAGTGCTAACAAAATTGGGCAAGGGGGACTGAAAATAATTATAATAATGAGAAAAAGTTATCCAGGTTTACGTTTATTTCCCTAAAATAATTAGAAAAGCCTAAACTGATCAGCCATTTCATAGATCTAAAATAAAATATTACATACAGAAATGTGCAAGTGCTTTTTTCCCCCACATACCACTGCATTGTTTAATTGCCAAAAAAACCTACCTGATTCAAACTAAACTGAAATCCTGCATCACTCCCAAATGAAAATGCCAAACCTAACGTCTTCCTTTAGTGCTGAAATGTTTCTGTTTCAGGTTTAAAGAAGCTGGAGGGCTGAAATTAAAATGGCAAACATTCAAAGGTTTAAGGTAATGTACTTTTCCACCATCGACCTGCAGCTTTAGTCAAATCGATCACAGCGGGACTGACTCCAGATCTGATCCCAGCCAGGAACCAATACGCTGTATTTCAGTGTTCACTTGAAACTCAGATTAATCTCCTGCTGCTTTAATCTCACCTTTTCCAGTCGGACACTGCAGACTTCTACCCATATACATTTTAAGATCATAACCCATTGGTTCAGTTTTCCCCAGCCTGCCTTCTGATTGGTTGGGCTGATCTAACCTTCACCCTGATTGGTTGCCCATCAGTTCATCTTAAGTCGTTTGATGGCTGCTTCCTGGTTGAGGTCATCTTGCTTTCTCTTGGTGACTCTGTTCGTCTCTTCAGGTTATCGGCTCGTTCCAGACTCTCCATTAGATGGAGGCTCAGCAGTTTTCTTCATTTCTCTCCTTTCTCTCCTCTCCTCCATCTCTTCAATCTCCTCTGCAAACAATGCCTTCAGAGGTCGAATGAGCTGGGGAAGCATCGGGAAATCTCCAAATCGGATCTGTAAGCACAAGAAAATAACACATCACACTTTACATTTGATTCAAAGTGGAATATAAATTACATTTTGTTTGCACAGCATTTCTCAAATAAGAAAGTGAGGTAGGAAAGAAAAATAAATAACAGAAAGGAAGGAAGGAAGGAAGGAAACAAGGAAGGTTGTAAGAATGTAATTAAGGAAGTAAGGAATTAAATAACTAAGGAAGTAAGAAAGGAAGAAGAAAGGAAATAAAGGATGGAAATAAAAAGGAAAATAACTAAGGAAGTATGAAAAGAAGGACGGCAGGAACGAAGGATGTAAGTAATAAAGGAAATCAATATCTATGGAAGGAAGTGAGGAAAGGATGCAAGGAAGGAAATAACTAAAGATGGAATTAAGCAAGAAAGGATATAATTAATGTAGGAAGTAACTGTGAAAAAAGACAGGTAAGGAAGGAAATAACTAACGATGGAAGTAAGGAGGAAAATAACTAAGGAAATACGGAAGGAACAAAGGATGGATGGAAGTAATGCAGAAAGTAAATAAGGAAGTTAAGGAGGATGCAAGTAAAAAAGGAAATAACTAGGGAAGAAAGCAAGGAAGGATATAAGTAATGAAGGCAATAACAGAAAAGAAAGCAAGGAAGGAAGGAATGAAATAACTAAGGATGGAAGTATGGAGGAGTATAGGAAGGAATTAAGGATTTATGGAAGTAATGCAAGAAGTTATTATGGAAGTTAAAAAATGAAGGATGTATGTAAATAAGGAAATAACTAAGGAAGGAATGAAGCAAGGAAGGCTATAAGTAGTAGAGGAAGTAACTGAAAAAAGGAGGACACAAGTTAGGAAGGAAGTTACTAAGGATGGAAGTTAAAAGGGAAATAACTAAGGAAGGAATTATGTATGGAAGGATGTAATGATTTAAATAAGGAATTAAGTACGAAAGGACGGACGGATGGATTTTAGTAAAGATAGTTAAGTAATGCAGGAAGTTAATAAGGAAATAACTAAGGAAGGATATGAGCAATGGAGGAAGTAAACAGGGAAATACCTAAGGAATGAATTAGGAAGTATGGAAGGATGCAAGTAATGAAGAAACTAAGTAAGTACAAAAGGAAGTATTTTTATTAAGATAGATGGGAAGAATTAGCTGGGAGTTATTTGACAATATCCTCACCCTCATGAGGTCGAAGGACATCCCCACTTTGCTGTTGAAGTCATCACTGAAGAGAGGGATCTTAGCGTACCGCTGACTGAAGTGATTCAATACGATGAATTCAGCGTTCATCTTCATCCAGATGCCGATAGCCTGAGACGTGGTGCTGGAAAGAGTTTCAGTTTCAAACACCGAGCACTGACAGAATCATGCAACTTCTCTGGAAACAACCCAAACCCGAAATCTGAGGCTGAACTTCGAATTTACTCAAAATAAACCAAAAAGGTCTTCATAGACACCACTGAAGTGTTGTGCTGCAGTATCAGATCAGTATTCCTCAACCATTTCTCACATTCAAGGGCTGATGTAGGATCTGTTTTCTACAAAGCCTACAACACAAATCTGTAAATTTGTGAATTTCAGCTGATAAAGCTAAACCGGACCTGAACCAATCTGGAAGACGCTCTCCACCCTCTCAGGCAATCAATTCCTCACTGAAACCCAAATGAATCCCCCACAAAATCTCCAAACGATTTCACTCAGTAGCTCTCAGCGTTATTCAGCTCTTAAATTGGAAAGGGCCCCAGTGTGAGACACGGAGCAGTGCATTCATAGACCCGGCGCTCCAGAACTCCAGCAGACGACAAGGAACCCGGATCAATGCTCATCTAAGAGGAGAATCCCACAACTTTAAGAGAGACCCGCTTTAAAAGAGTCCTCCATCAGGAAGCACATTATCCACTGGGAAGGCTGACCACTTTCATTTCAGAAGAATTTCTCCCTCTGCCTGCGATTGAGGGTGCTTTTTTAGCTCTTAAATCAAAAGATAGTTTCATCTTCTTGTTTGTTTTGTAAGTTCGCACATGACCAATACAACCTCTTCATTAAGACCAGCTCTGTCCGATAAGAGCTGGTGTTTGACTGTTGCATTATTGATGGATGAGAATTCATGCTGAAATGCATTCATATCATAGGAACAATGTTGATGGAAATTGTGCCACAATGAAAAGGCAATACCGTCATTACTTATTTTACATGTGAATTACAGCTCAAAAGTTCAGGGTCGGTAAGATTTTTCTCTTCTGCTCACCAAGGCCGCATTTATTATATCAAAAATACAGCAAAAACTGCAATATTGTGAATTATTATTACCGTTTAAAATAACTGATTTCCATTAGAATATATTTTAAGATGTAATTTATTCCTGTAATAAAAAGCTGGATTTCCAGCATCATGACTCCAGTCTTCAGTGTCACATGATCCTTCAGAAATCATTGTAATATGCTGAGAAGCATTCCTTATTATTATCAAGGTTGTAAACAGTTGAGATGCTTCATATTTTTGTGGAAACAGCAGCTGAAGTTTATTTTAAAAAAGATCCGTTGATTTTGGTCTGATCTGAGCAGTTCGAGTGCCGAAATACAGCACTGATTGTTTTATGAATCAGCCAAAATGTGATGCAGCTGTAAAGAGATTGTTATTGAAGAGCAATTAAAGACTATTTCAGAACAGAGCAAATAGAAAAAAAAAAAAACATTTACATTGAACTAAAGAGGGTGTTTTCTTGCCACAGTACAAGTAAAACTTGTAAGTGTCAGAACTGGCTATGAAAAACTCAATTACAATAGATTTAGTGCTAAAGACTTTCACAAACATTTCAATCAACAAAACTTCGACAAGCCTTTGGCTTTTCTTAGTTGGGGCTTAAAAGAAGGCTAAAGGGATAATTTACCCAAAACTGAAAATTTGCTATTAATAGGCTCTGGTTTACAGGTAATAATGTTGTAAATAATGTTCAGTTTCTTGCACAGAGTGATCGTTTCACTTCATAAGACCTCAATATATCATCAGGAGACGCGGGTATTAATTTTGTCTTCCTTGATATGCTTTTTTATTCTCAAATACTGGCAGCCGCTGACTTGCATTTTATGAATCAGTTTCAGCTAAAAAAATCTTCTTTACTGTTCTGCTGAAGAAAAATAAAGTCACCTACATCTTGGATGGCCCGAGGGTGAGTAAATTAACAGCAGTTTATTATTTTTGGTTGAACTAACACAATCGGATGAGAACAAAACTGAACCGAACTGAATAACGACACTATTGTCTTCTGCTTTATAGCTTCACACAAAAAAAGTGTCAGTGTTGCAAAATTTGTCAAGTATGAACAAATTTAGTTTAGTTTAGAGCTTTATTAATCCCCTTGGGGCAATTAATTCAGACTTTCGTATATGTGAAGCACTACGAAAGTCTGAATTAATTGCCCCAAGGGGATTAATAAAGCTCTAAACTAAACTAAACTAAATTTGTTCATACTTGACCAATTTTGCAACACTGACACTTTTTTTGTGTTCCTGAATTGAATCAACATCGAACTGACTTGAGCCGAATAACGACACTATTGTCTTCAATCACTGAACTCGTTTCATAAATGATTAATTTTACAGTTATCAAACAAATTTGTCTCATTTTTCAAGTTTTCATCATTGATTCTGTTATTTTCCTATTTAATACTATGAGTCTGCTTTGTATTGTATAAAGCGCCATATAAAGGTGACTTGACAAACAGTATAACAAAACTGAATTAAAAACACTTGCCATGACCCATCAGATCTGAAGTGTCACTGATTACCTGTCTCTTCTCGCACGCTTCTTCCTCCATCCCATCCTCCAGTGTGGCTTCATGAATCAAAAATGTTGCATTCTTGCCTGAGAGCAAACCAAGAGATGAATCAAACTCTCTCCACCACACACACACACACACAGAGATAGATTACAGCTGACATGCTATTCCCTCTTTTCCCCATTGTAAACACACACAAACATTCACACACCAACACACACTCAATCAATCATGAGAACTCCAGCGAGCGCTGAGACAACAAAGGACTTTCCTAATGAGACGAGTGGACCGAACAATCTCCAGCGTTCAGGAAGGGAGCTCATCACCGCCGGACTCCCTCGGGAGCCATTAAAGAGGTTTCTGTGACTGGGAGAACAGCGCTGAAGTGATCGATTGCATTGCTGATAAAGACAGGAAGAAGCATTTAAACGCAGGCTTCATTCATATCGATCCTAGAGTCACTATAGAGATTTAGGTGCAATTACAGACTCTCGTTTTCCTGCTGGACTGATGGGCCTTCAATGAGCAGATTCTGACTGACGCAGTATTTTAAGGGGAAAATCTCTGTAGAAATACAGTGTGTGGCTTGTCTGACAATTCAGACTGAAAATCAACTGCAAACATGTAACTTTAAATATTGTAGTCATGCAAAATGTAGTTGTGTATCTTAAAAAAATAATGTCAGTATTTGTTTGTGTTTGGGTTCATAAATCTCAATAACATTTTGCGGCTCACATTTCACCTTAAAATCAACAGAAAAAAAAAAAACAGCACTATTCCCCCCCAACCCCTCCCCCTCAAATTCTTGTTAAATGTTTTGCAGAATAATAAATAATTTAGGTAAAACTTTCCAACAATATGATCCTATTAGTTATCTAACGATGAGCAAAACATAAGTTACAGTAGTTTTTATTTTTTGTGTTATTTCAGTATCGAGATACTATTTCAGTTTTTAATAATACTCTGAATTAGTTTTTATTTTTATATTTTCTGTTTTCATTATCATTTTAAAGTTTTAGTAAGTTTGTTGTCATAGTATTAGTTTTTAATGTCTATTTAGTTTTTATTAATTTTATTTACACTGTTATTTTAGATCAAGTTTATTTCAAGTAATGAATTGTATTACCATTAGTTATTAAAAATACAAAAGTTAATTGTTAGTTCATGCTCTCTAAGGTCTATTTAATCATATGAACAGACAACTTTTGTTTTTATTAATAGCATTTAAGAAAATGTCGAAACTAATATTAACTAAAATTTAGAAATGCATTAGAAATATTGTTCATGTTAGTGCATGCTAACTAATGTGGTTAACTAATTTTAACAAATTAAAACTCTTTATAAAGTATTACCATAATTTACATATAATATCAATACCGTTTTTAATTTATGTTAAACATTTAAAAAAGCAAAGAAAAAAATGTTTTACAACTTGATTAGAATTTCATAAGAATCATCAGCAAGGAAAATAATTATAACCTTTGCAAGGCCAATTTTACCCTTGATTTATCAGAATATTCAGGCCAGTATGCTATTATATGCATATACACACATGTGCAAAAGCATGAGTGGTCAGTGTATGTTTGTGTCTGTGGTTTTTCCCCATATTAACGACAGCATCGCAGGGCATGGTGTCTCCAGAGAACACGAGCTGCCAACCAGACTGATGAGTCAAACTGCAGGTGAACGAGTTCTTACAGTGACGAACATAACACGTCTGAAACTACACATTCACCAGAAACAGAGCTTTCAGTAGGGATACATCACAACAAGCTCATGCACGGTTTATTCTCTATGAATGGACAGTAACCTGAAGGGCCTGAGTACAGCTGGTGGATATTTTAAACATGTATAGTATTCTGTTGTTGACATAAAATTAACCAACATTATGAATATAATGATGATTTTAATGCACGTCTTTTTGGCCGTTAAGTATAAGAGCATAAGAATACTAGAAGACAGAGAAAAAAATATTTTAGTTGCCTCTCTGAGGAAATATAGCAATAGATTATGTAAGTTTAATTAATTATTACAATGGTGCATATAAATAAATTATAAAACATCATTCAAGCTACTAATAAAGCAATAAGCCCCAAGAAGCCGTGGTTTACAGTGAATTTATAACAGCTAAGGGACGTTGTTAGGCACGATGTGAAGCGGTTATTCCATATACGTAGTAAGGTTTCAGCAAACAGTGTAATGATATTAATAAAAACAGTATTCTTCCACCAAACAGTGTAGTTCCTCAGAAACCGTTGTGGTTGCAATAAAGTGGTTGGCGAGCAACACACAGAAGTAAACAAAGGTGTATGTTTGTAGCGTAATTTACAACAGCTTCGAACGCGGCTCAGCCAATCAGAATCAAGGACCGGAACTATCCGTTTTATAAAATTAAATTAAATTGACAGCAAATGCATTAATAAAGATGTATATAACTATCTAAAATAAAATGTTGAAGCTGAAGTTTTAAAATGACTAAAACTAAAACGGAAATAAAAATAAATTAAAGCTTCATAAGAATCATCAGCAAGGAAAATAATTATAACCTTTGCAAGGCCAATTTTACCCTTGATTTATCAGAATATTCAGGCCAGTATGCTATTATATGCATATACACACATGTGCAAAAGCATGAGTGGTCAGTGTATGTTTGTGTCTGTGGTTTTTCCCCATATTAACGACAGCATCGCAGGGCATGGTGTCTCCAGAGAACACAAGCTGCCAACCAGACTGATGAGTCAAACTGCAGGTGAACGAGTTCTTACAGTGACGAACATAACACGTCTGAAACTACACATTCACCAGAAACAGAGCTTTCAGTAGGGATACATCAAAACAAGCTCATGCACGGTTTATTCTCTATGAATGGACAGTAATCTGAAGGGCCTGAGTACAGCTGGTGGATATTTTAAACATGTATAGTATTCTGTTGTTGACATAAAATTAACCAACATTATGAATATAATGATGATTTTAATGCACGTCTTTTTGGCCGTTACGTATAAGAGCATAAGAATACTAGAAGACAGAGAAAAAAATATTTTAGTTGCCTCTCTGAGGAAATATAGCAATAGATTATGTAAATTTAATTAATTATTACAATGGTGCATATAAATAAATTATAAAACATCATTCAAGCTACTAATAAAGCAATAAGCCCCAAGAAGCCGTGGTTTACAGTGAATTTATAACAGATAAGGGACGTTGTTAGGCACGATGTGAAGCGGTTATTCCATATACGTAGTAAGGTTTCAGCAAACAGTGTAATGATATTAATAAAAACAGTATTCTTCCACCAAACAATGTAGTTCCTCAGAAACCGTTGTGGTTGCAATAAAGTGGTTGGCGAGCAACACACAGAAGTAAACACAGGTGTATGTTTGTAGCGTAATTTACAACAGCTTCGAACGCGGCTCAGCCAATCAGAATCAAGGACCGGAACTATCCGTTTTATAAAATTAAATTAAATTGACAGCAAATGCATTGAATTTTGAACCTAGTTTTATACAATGTTCAGATTTATCTTCTGGAAATGTGTGCAAATTAGTGCATATTTAATTATATAATGCATAATTTCCAAATTTGAACCACATTTCAGAAAACTTTGAATACAAAACATGTTTGCGGTTCTTAATGAAATCAACTGGGGAAGTATGGTGATTTGTTTCTATTTGTTACATTGTTTACACTACTCACCTTGGGTGTCTTGCCTTAAATTCATAAAAACAAAATTTAACTGCCTTTAATTTTTTGTTATGTACTGCTAATGTGCACATTGCAATATGTATGTTAATGTGTTAAACCTGAGCATGCTGGGTAAACTGCAATTACTGCATATACACGAATGTATTTCACACAATACTGATATTAAACATCTGATATTCTAGCTATTTTTAGTAGTATGTACACTTTAAAAATATGGTGACATTCTAACTGAAGTGTTTACAAAATCCCTTGAAAATAAGTCAAAATTAACTGCTAATAAAGCAATAAGCCCTGTGAATCCGTTGTTTACAGTGAATTTATAACAGCTAAGGGGCATTGTTAGGCACGACGCGAAGCGGAGCTGTTATAAATTCACTGTAAACCACGGCTTCACGAGGCTTACTGCTTTTATAAAATGGTTATTCCATATACGTAAGGTTATGTAAGGTTTCACAGAATAAAACAGAGCAAATAAAGTAATGATATTAATAAAAACAGTATTCTTCCACCAAACAGTGTAGTTCCTCAGAAACCGTTGTGGTTGCAATAAAGTGGTTGGCGAGCAACACACAGAAGTAAACAAAGGTGTATGTTTGTAGCGTAATTTACAACAGCTTCGAACGCGGCTCAGCCAATCAGAATCAAGGACCGGAACTATCCGTTTTATAAACTGCCACATCCCTCTACATTGAGTAAATCACTCGCATATGCGACTAAATCTTACTCTGGGCGACTAAATGATGTCTAATATTAGCCACTGGCTAATAAATTCTCAGATTTTACTCGCCAGTGTGTGAGTTGGAGGGTGAGTATATGATTAGCACAGATATATTTTCACTGAGAATCTTATTTCTCACCATCTTGGAGTCCTTCAGGTGTTTTTTAGCAAACTTTCATGTGTCTTGCACCGAGGAGAGGCTTCCGTCGGGCCACTGCCATAAAGCCCCGACTGGTGGAGGGCTGCAGTGATGGTTGAC